TGAAATACTTTAGGGGATCACAAAATTGCTAGTTAAGTTAGCTAAGAGCAGAGTACAAACATCAAGAGACAGATGGCAGAAGGAAGGCCAGAAGAAGATGAAGATAGTGATGGATAAAAGATTGATGATACATAAGCCATGGGAGAAGTTGCTGGAATAGAAGAGTTAGAAGGAGCTCTTGCCACAAAGAGATCAAATAGGAAGGTGTTCATGATAAAGCCCCTACCTTAGAAGGCTCCAGTGAACCCCATAAAAATTATTTCTGATAAGTGGTGAGGATAAAAGCAAAATTCAAGTTATTTAATTAGTGACTAGGAGTTGTAAATATAGTTCCCTGTTTAAATTTGGTGCCAAATGGGATGATGAATGGAATGATTCTTCTTGATCAGACAGAACAGTCAAGAGGTGTGTGTGTGCACGTGTGTGTTGTTTAGAATGAAGCACTTAAATGAATGAAAGAAAATAGTGGAGAGATACATTTTAAACTGGAGAGAAACAGAAAACATGGCTATATGGTTCCAAGTACCATGAATCATCCCCAAATCATATTTATATCTAAATACTTTTTCTCCTTTTATGGACATAAGGATACGCTGCCACTAATTTACAAGGTTGATAAAGCAGACAGCCATGTCTATTTTAAAATAGCGATAGAACTTTGCACGATGAAACGACATATTGCTTGAATGCTGAGCTGAAAGGTAAGTAGTGCTATACATTGTATTATAGAAATATGTGGAAACTGCATGTGGCATCAGGGGCTGAAGTTCGAATTCTAGTCCTGTGGTTTGTTAGTAATGTCTTTTTCTCATTACCATTTTTGAAACATTGTTATAGGCCAAGCACTCCGCTAATATCTTTAAATACATGATTTTCATTGTCCCAATAACACTGCAACGTTTCAAGGTGTGTGTGTGTGTGTGTGTGTGTGTGTGTGTGTGTGTGTGTATCTAGGCATATGAATATATGTTTTGTATTTGTCTTTGTTTTTGTTTAATCAGTTTTGAATATGAGAAAGCTGAGGTTCAGAGAGGCATGGGAACTTTCATGCCTCCTTACTGGCTCTGTGATGTTGGCAAGATTTTGACCCTCTCTGGACCTCAGCATCTTCCTCCTTGTGAACATTGTCTGGTTATGCCTAGCAGGCTGTTGGGGCTTGAATGAAATAATGGTCATGTGAACTTAGTAGAGTGCCCAGTATATAGTTATTTCTTTTATATAATCTCAATATTTTATCACAACACCCAAACTCATATAGATGAAAACATGTAGCAATAGGAAGATCTGTTTCTTATTACTGCTACTGAGAGAAATTTAACTCAATTGATAAAGTCAGTGCCATGCTTCTGTGTATTCCCATTAGGTGCCCATTAAATGTTTCATGAGAACTGAAGCTGTATTTTTAGTTTCCACAGAAAAGATGCAACTGATTTCAGTTGCATTGGCACTGACTTTTGAAGTGCATAGGCACTAAAGAGGTGTTGAATACAGTACAAGCAAAATCTAATCCATATTTGGTTTCTTTTTCTAGTGCTGAATGCAATAGATGATTATGGAAATACCTTTCTGCATTATGCTGTAGAAGAAAACCAGATTGAAAGCGTTAAGTTTCCTCTCAGCAGAGGAGCAAACCCAAACATCCAAAACTTCAATATGATGGCACCCTTCCACATAGCTGTGCAGCGTATGCACGATGAGGTGATGAAGGTAAGGCTACTGGCCAGCTCCAGTGGGCCTGACCAGCAGTGCTGGTGGTGGGGCTCAGAGCCGGCTCTCTCTGCTTGCTCCAAGATGAACACCTTCTGAGCTTCCAGGGCAAATGATATGTAATGATTACATTTGCTCTACTTCTCACCGACTGATGATGATGATGATGACGATTTCTCACTTTATTGTTTAGTTTTTATTTACCAAGCATTTTTAAGAACTTCGTGTGTGTTGGTTTATTAAATTCTCATCTAAATATCTAAATAAACCCTCTATAAAATAAGATCTAATAAAATAGTAGTATTCTTATTTCATAGCTGAGTACACTGAGGTGCCAAAAGCATTTGAATAGCTTGCCTAATGGCACATCACAAGTAAAAAATGCAAGGCTAAGCAATTTTGTTTTCATCTTTATGAACTTTTCAAGTTCAGCCTTTATCACTTTTACCTGACTGACTTCATGGCAAAGGAAGAAAGTCATGAGAGCCTCAGTGAAAGCAGAAAACAATTATGATTTGCTGTTTTAGTAAGAGTGGATGCCCTGTCAGAGAGATTAGTTAGCTGAAGACAGCAGGACACCATTGGGAGACATCTTACTGGTTTTCATGGAGTAAGAGTAAGCTCTTGGGCAAATAGAGGAAATCCTGGAAAACTACTAAAAGGTAAGAATTATGCCATGGCTTTTAAACTACTTCTCAGAGTCTCTCAGACACACTACAATACAAACATGCTTAACCAATGAAGAATGCAGTTTACAAATGGATCATTTTCCAAAAGTTCACTCTAAGGTAGGCTATTTGGAACTAATAATAAATTTTCCTTTAGAAATATTATTGCAAATGATGATTTGGCTATTGTGGTAAGCCACAAGAAAACCTACTTCTCTATAAATCACCAAAGAGATGCATGGGTTTCAGGCTCTCTTTACCTCACAAACGTTTCTCTCAGCCTTTTGAACTTTGGCTCCTTTACGTTTGGCAAAAAGGGTGTGAAGGCAGCCACTTTCTGCTTTCATACTGTAATGTGGATATGGGTCTATCCAAATTCTTAACACATGATATTGGGATCAAATATTCATGTGCTTTTTTTTTTTGCCCACTGAGTAATTATCCTTGTGGAGGGCGGTGTCCTACTAATCCAAATGCCCTGTCAGAGAGATTAGTTAGCTGAAGACAGGAGGACACCATTGGGAGACATCTTATTGGTTTTCATGGAGTAAGAGTAAGCTCTTGGGCATAGTGATGGATAAAAGATTGATGATACACAAGCCGTGGGAGAAGTTGCTGGAATAGAAGAGTTAGAAGGAGCTCTTGCCACAGCACTGTGGTGGCAAATGATGAGTGAATGAGTAAATGGGAGTGAGTGAATGAATGAATGAGTCAATGGGAGTTCTCGCTGACGAAGAAGGGGAGAGGTAGAGTCTCAGTACCTGTGAGATGCGTCAGGGTGGCTCCCTAACAAGCTGTATTTTTTTTGGGGGGGGGAGAGTGTTGTTTTATTAAATATCTGTATTATTCATTCAAGTGCTGTTTCCATATCATCTGGATTGGGCCACAAGTAACTACAGGGAATATTCCCAGAAATGTCACATATTTCCTCATGGAGCTCTGCTCCCTCTGGAGGCTCTTTTCAAGAACAAATATCTATTAACTCGGTTAATATTGGCTCTTAAAGTGTGGTTTGGGAATATGAGGACAGATAATTGTTGAAAAACTATTGTTAATTAGAAAGCAGAAATCCCCAGAACAACAAATACCAAAAGTTAGGTATCCAGTGTCTAACTGATTCATAAACTCAGTGGTGGACATAAAACGAATTTTCCTGGTGACACCAGAACATGCAGAAAAATAGAGTTCTAAGTAAAAATTGACTGTCCGTTACTTGGTCTTACCAACCACAACTATGTCTAAAAATATTTTCAAACTACTCTGGTTCACCAGAGATGACAGAAATAGAAGCAGAAGAAAGTGTTTTGGAGTGTCTCCCCTCATGCTTGCAAACAGCAGTTCTCTCCACCTGCCTCTCCCAGTTATGCCTATGGTCCAGCCCATACCTACCCAGCCCCTGCTCCATTGACTGCTCCACTAGCCTTCCCCCAAACTTCCCCCTTCTGCCTATAATGGCTGTAAAGAAAAAACTGTCATCTGTGCATCACTTCAAGTGCTTGCACAAATGACCTTTGACATGTATACTATTCCCTGGGACACACTGGCCTGGGGATTAGGAGGTGGTTTTGTTTCTCAGTGGCCTGCAGGTCCTCATCCTTGGGGCTTCACTTCAAAGTATCCAGTTGTTTGACCCTTCCATGAGACTTTCCGGATTCTCATCAAAGGGGCCTGCGGAGACCTCACCTCTGAACCTTCCAGACTTGCCTGGTCATGACTGAATTTGAAGTAGGCGCACAGCTTAGGTGCTCTCTCTGGGATCCCTGCCACATATAATTGAACACAGCTTTTTCACAGATTGTGCTTTTGATGGTACAATAATAACAGCCCAATAAATGCTACAAATTTGTGATCTATGATTCTAAGAGGGCAAAGAGAGAAAAGTCTCTCTTGCAGACTTTGGTAGGTTATTTTACATGTGAATCTAGATCTTAAGAAAAGAATGCGAAGGTGCCTGAAGTCCGTGGAAGGAATCTTGTGTTCTCATTTCCCTTAATCCATCAATCACTTTCCCACATATTTTACACACGAAAATCTCAGTTTGAGTTTCTTTTATGAGCATGGCCACTTAGTAAACCTCATTCATTTGTTGACACACAGGGCACGTTCTGTTAACAAGAGGCTCTGGTCGGAGGTTGCATAGTTGTTTAAAGAAGTCAAAGCCTTTAAGAAACAGCTTATTTAGTAAACCCTTTTAACATTATTTAATTATAAGGACATGCCATTGTTTATCATAGTCATTCTGCAAGAGAAAAAAGCCTCCACTAGGCCTATTCAAAGATTTGATAAGACATTTAGATGAGATAATTTTGTTACATTGAATGTAAAAAAAGACTGGTCAAAGATCTTTAGACTCTTGGGCAATAATCAGCTGGTAGTCAATTGGGTGAGGAGGAAACAGGTCTTCAGTGAAATTCCGTCAGAAAAATTACCTGACCATTTTATCAGTATGCTTTTTCTTTTTTCTTCTTTTCTTTCCTCCCTCCCTCCCTCCTTCCCTCCCTCCCTCTTTCTTTCTCCTCTTCCCTTCCCTCCCATCCCCTCCCTCTGTCTCCCCTCCCGACTGCCCCCTCCCCTCCCCTTCCCTTTCCTGTCTCCCGTCCCCTCCCCTTCCCTTTCCTGTCTCCCGTCCCCTCCCCTTCTCTTTCCTGTCTCCCCTCCCCTCTCCTCCCCTTCCCCTTTCCTCTGTCTCCCTTCTCCTTTCCTCCCTCTCCTTTCCTTTCCTCTGTCTCCCCTCTCCTCCCCTTTCCTTTCTTCTGTCTCTCCTCCCCTCCCTTCCCTCCCCTTCCCTTTCCTCTGTCTCCCCTCCCTTTCCCTCCCCTCCCCTCCCCTCTGTCTCCCAGACTGGAGTACAGTGGTGTGATCTCAGCTCACTTCAACCTCCACCTCCCAGGTTCAAGCAATTCTTTTGCCTCACCATCCCAAGTACCTGGGCCTATAGGCGTGTGCCACCATGCCCAGCTAATTTTTATATTTTTAGTAGAGAAAGGGTTTTGCCATGTTGGCCAGGCTTGTCTTGAACTCCTGACCTCAAGTAATCTGCCCCCCTTGACTTCCCAAAGTGCTGGGATTACAGGTGTGAGCCACTGTGTGGCCAAGATGCTAATTTCTTCCATTGTAGAAAATGATTCCCTTCCAGGCCAAGTTTGAATTAATTGAGTTAAGCCATACCAAAATTTTATGCAAAACTCTGTTTTGTTTACTGAAGAGAATAATTTCAATTGACATTTGCCAGGATGCTTGCAATCTAGTTAAAAAAAAAAATGACTAGAAGGGAAAAAGAAACCATTCCCTTCCTGCCTCCCACCCTCCCTTCTTCTCTCTCTCTTACTTTCTTCCTTCTTCCCTTTCTGTCTTCCTCCTTCACCGTGAACACATTTTCAGTGGCTCCACAAATATATATTTCTGAAAACATTAGTTAACGTAGCTTCACTTAAAGCAAATCAAAAGTATTAAGTGAAGCTATAACTAGTATCTACAGTTCTTTATTTACAATGCCACAACTCATTATCACCTTGATGTGACACTGAAATCATGATTGTTTCATCTATTTGAGAAATTTACTTTGTGCCCACAATGTACAGAATTTTGTGCCAGATTATGTGGGAGAAGGATGAACAAACATAGACATGATTCCTGGTATCTGAGAACTAAAAATCCAGTGGAAGACAAGTACCTTGCTGGGAAATCTGTAAACAGTTTGACAGTTATTCTTTCCTTTTCTGTAGGTCTTGCTTGAGCATAGAAGTACTGATGTTAATTTGGAAGGAGAAAGTGGAAACACAGCTGTGATGATCGCATGTACCAAAAATAATAGTGAAGCACTGCAGACTTTGGTTTGCATATTCGTCATATCTTTCTGCTTTCTTTATCTGTTCATGAATACAACATGGATTATTATTAGTTACAAAAGCTGTCAAGTTTTTCTCCATAGAAAAACAAAATACAGAAACTGTGTCAGAAACAAAGTTGTTCTATGTGTTTTTGTATATGCACTCCCCGCCTTAAGTGGAGCCGAGATTGCTTATAGAAGACAAAAGACTAATAGGAAAGCAGTAATGAGAACTATGAGAAATTCAAAGTGAAAAGGAAACACAGGCAGAAAAGATTGAGATGAAGCTGGTGTTCAGGCTAGAATGCAAAGTACAAAGTATAATGGCCTATACGTTATAAAGATGGATTTTATGTTTGATTCTGAGCTTCTGAATTGTCAAAAGAAAGATGAATATAGTCAGTTGCAGAATTATTGGGCTCAGACGATAAAAGCCAAAGGAAACACAGCCACTCCTGAAGACCTGAAGAAATTATTGCCATGTTTTCTCAAAAACAGAGCCCTGAGTGATGTAATGATGAAGTTTCTTAGCCACATGCCTGATGGTAGAGCCAATCTTTTCGCTGGTGAGGCTTCCTGGTGTGATCCAGTGAGTTGATGGAGATTCCCATCCACATGACTTCCTCCTGCTCCCGGCAGTGCTCCTTCTGAGCAAGTAGCCATTTTTCAAATATTCCTTAATCACTTGCATATTATCCAGGCCAGGGTCTATATTTTTCCCACTTGATTTTGCCTCTTTACCATCCCAAAGAGTAAGAAAATGACATTAAATAATTTAAAAGTATTTGCCTAATGTTTAAATGTACCGTACAAATATGTTTTAGCCTCTTTACTAGATGTACTTAGAGACAGGTACATACTCTAAGCTTTCATGATTGGACCAAAAAGAGAATAAATGATAAAGAGAATAAAAATAAATCAACTAACACTCAAAACAAGAATTTAGGCAAAGAGCTTTAAATTAACCAAAAGAAATAGTAAATTTGAAAGTCCTACAGAAAACAACATTTTAAAATTCTGAATTCCTTGCAAATTTTTATGTGTATACTATGTGATAATATTGTTCAAAAAGCTTTTACTTAGCAATATTCTGTAATAATATGATTTTGTAAAGTACATCTGCCATTTCTGCACTATATTATATATACATTTCTGGACTATTATATACAATATATAAAGTAAACTAATACTATCTCTAAAAGCTGAGATTACAGGTAGTGTTTGATTCTACATAAATTTCTGTTTACTCAAAATATTTTCTTTTGAATTAATTGAAAGTACTTAAAACTTAAGGCTAATGATTTATAGAAAATGGTACTTTAAAATGATTGGCTCAGACATCAACGTAATATAACATTTAGTTCTTCTAACATCCTTTTAGTGAAGAACTATTATTAGTGAAAATACTTGATGTTCATAGTTTAACCAAGAGTGGTGGCATATTCACTTATTAATTTTACATAAATAAAGGGAACAGCTTCTGAGAAATATTGTCACTATATTTGCATAAGAAATTGAATATGGGTATAGAAGTCATGACAATGTCTTTAAAAATTTTATTTAAAAATATGTTGACTTTAGTTTTCTGGGATATCAAGATTGATAGTTTCGTGTCTATGTTGCTACTTCTTTGGAAGATATAAAATGTCGCTATTTCAGAATCTCTGCTTAGTTCAAAATTACCTTCATGCTTAGATTTCATAATATACGAAGCTCTCTACATACTTTAGTTTTACATAGACATATAATGTAATTTGTGATTTGGAGTTTAACTGGTGTCACTTTTTAGTTTTGTCTTTTCTTCCAGCTTAACAAAGGAGCTCAGCCACGTAAATCAAATAAATTTGGATGTTTTCCTACTCACCAGGCTGTACTTTCAGGTTCCGAAGAATGCATGGAAATAATATTAAAGTTTGGTGAGTAGAGGCTTTTTCATATATACACTATAAATAAGTCTATTCTGGTGGATGGTATTAACTTAAAAAATATATAAGAGAATTTAAGACAGGCTTCTGTGTGTCTCAGTGACCTTTTTTTCTTTTCTTAATTCTTCCTGTTATTCATTTTATGTATTTTGTTATGTTGAATGTTATTTTCTCCTAAAGGTGAAGAACATGGGTACAGTAGACAGTTGTACATCAACTGTGTGAACAATGGGAAAGCCAGTCCTCTCCACCTGGCTGTGCAAAATGGTGACTTGGAAATTGTCAAAATGTGCCTGGACAATGGTGCACAAATAGACCTAGTGGAGGTAACTTTTCATATTCTATATGATATCTTTATCTTAGAACTGTCATAGCATATAAAATGCTTTATAGCTCTTTTAGGGTTTACATTGAAATACATACAAGAAATAGATATTATTTTCTTCGGCTTATGCAGAAGCAGAACAAGAGAATACCCCAAATTTCAATCTATGTAAAGATTTTTGAGACCTCCCCAAAACAGTTGAAGACAAAAATACACATAGAATAAAGAATATATCTAGTTCAATTGCCATTAAATAAGTTAAGGCCTACACTGAGAAGATGATAATATTCAGCCAGGAATATTAAGGCCCAATCAGGAATGTCTTTGCCTTTAGTTCAGTTTGGAAGAGTTATCATTTTTAAAATTAAGGACCACTTAACCAATTTCTAAGACTATGTATATAAAAATGTTGACTGTGTTTGGGATCTGACCTTATGGCAGGCATCTCTGACCAAAAGTGGAGAGTTCCGGTCCCTTTTCTTCAATGTCTGAGTTTTGGGTGGCAACAAGCTTCCCTCCGAGATTCTGCAAAGTCCTGTGCTTTCTGGAGGAAGAGATTGGTCATTAATCTCATGTAGCTTCTGGACACTGATCCTAAGTCCCTTCAATATAGAAATGAAGAGCTGCCATTGGTGGTATGGAATCTGAAGTCACTTCATTCACTGGGTACTTACAGCAATGAATGAGACACTGTTCTCATGTTGCCGGGGAAAAGAATGGCACCCAGATGATGATGGTAGAAGTATATGCCAAGAATTATTTTATTAGAAACAAGCACAACTGTTAGCTACAGTTTTTTTCTTTGTAGGTTCATAAAATCAAGGAATATCTGTCACATTTCAGATGATTCATGGTGATCAGATGAAACTGAAATTAATCATCTGAAATGTGATACATATTTCTTGATTTTATTTACCTGGGACAAAAAAACTCACAACTGAATTTGAGTTATATTCTGAAATCGGGATTTAAATATTGATTCTAGTATTAAAGGCTTTTACAGAAGGCAGAGTGCACAGCCCTTCATTTTGCTGCCCATCATGGAGAGACTGAGCTTGGTAAATTGTTGAAATCATCCTATTCTGGTGGCATGGATATTGTTAATGCGGCTGATGAAAGCCATCAGACTGTGCTTCACAGGCACGTTTCCTACCTACCATTCTGAATACAGAACTTTAGTCTTCACGTGTTGAATTAGAAATTGCAAAGAGCAGTTAGCACAAATGGAAGCAAAGATTATGTTGTTCAAAAGAGAGAAAAATAACAAAGACCCTGTGTATTTACTGGAATTGCTTGTGTTACCAGGGAATGGAAGTACAACATTAAATAAATTTCACAGAATAAAATCTCCTGTGGCATATTCTGAATGGAGTGCAGCAGATATAGGATTAAGATTAATTTTCTATATGCTAAAAAAGTCTACATACAAGGTCTTCCAAGCCCTTTCTAGTTTGTTCCAATTTCTCATATTTATTTTATCCCCATTTTCAGTGACAATAATGGAATGGATACATATGGATATTTCACGTTTCCCACTCTAATCCCTTCTGCTAACCCCACAATTATAGATAAATGGTTTCAAAAGATACAGTTTTTAGGAAATTATAACCAAGTTGCCAAAAATGATAAAAAGTTTCTGTGAAATTTGACAGAAATACACATCAGGGAAAATGTATTAAACTGTAGGCTTAATAGGTGCTAGGACAGGACTGAAAATTAATTAAACAAACATTGTACACTGGAAATTAATTAAACAAGCATTGTAGACTTTGTAAAGACAAGTATCAGATGCTGCCCATGTGGGTGAAAGAGTAGTCTGAGTTGACCCTTTGCTCTCTCGGACACACACACACACACACACACACACACACACACAGGTGCGCACTCTCTCTCTTTCTGTGTGTGTGTGTGTGTGTGTGTGTGGGTGTGGGTGTGTGTGTATGTCTCAGAGCTGCCAATATATTTTCAGTAGGTAGCCAGACCTGGAAATCTATCTAAATATCTGTTAGAAAAAAAGAAACTCTAGATACCAATATAAGATCTTTTTCTAATGAATGTACACATTTGCAAAACCACCAGCCGTGATAGAATATGTGTGAAAAGAAAGAAACTCCCACTTAGGATAAATCTACAAACTAAAATTGTATGGCATAAAAGAAAACTTATGAAAAAACGAAGTCAACAAAAGCCAATTTATTTCCAAGAAAATAGAAATAATAGGGCAATCTGAAAAGAATTTTAAAATAAAGATATTTGAGACCTTAAAACATTTAAAGGAGGTTAATCAGTTATGTAAAAGTAAGACAACATAGAATTGTAAAAACAGATTGTCATATATGACTCCAGGATTGGTGTTATGAAAATGATCTAGTAAAACAAAAACGTTAAAAAAGAGCCAGTGAAATGAAATGAATACTCAATATACTAATCTCGAGACCAGAGATTCTCAAAACATTAGAATCATGTGAGTAGCTCATAAAATCCCAGTGCCAATTCATACCCTTGAATATATAAAATCTCCGTGATGAGTGACAGGAATGAAAAAAAAATAACCTCTTTGATTCCAAAGTGTAGCCAATTTAGAAACCCAATGATTTGATTATTTTTAAAGTGTGTCTTTAGAACACAGACTTAATATATTAATATGCATGAGAGGAAATTATCGTAGGTAGATGGGTCCTTAATGTTATATTTTATTCCCTAAAATATATTTATTCCCTAGATATAATTAATATATTTTAAATATAATGCAACCTCTTGTCATATTTGAGGTGAAAATTAGCAAACGGATTCTGAAATTTGTATATAAAAGGCCAAGAATAGTTGAGACAATCTTGAAACAAAGAAATGAGATTTGCCATAGGAAACATAAAGGTTTAAATCATTAGTATTAACATGTGTTAGGTGGTGCTTTAATGTAGATTGAAAACTTTTACTGGCTTTGTTAATTAACATTATCCTTAGGACTAACTGTGAGATGATGCTAAAACGTTTTCAGTTCTTTCCATAATGATTTTTGTCTTCATAAAAACTCAGAAGTTAACACTGCCTTTTAACTTTTGCCAAAGAGGAGTCTCCCAAAGAGGGGCTTTTTGAACCCCAAAGGTGATTTGAGACATTCCTTGTATGTAGCTGTTGCTATTCCCAGTGATCATAGCAATACCAGTGATTTCCTTGTCTTTTCTATCTTGGTACATATGTTACTACTCACTTCAAAACATCTTCATGGTGATTTTACAGGAGAAAATAGGTTTACTAAAAGATGAGGAAGAAAATATTGTGATGTATTTGGTGTTTTCCTGTTATTATTACTTCGAAACTGCTACCATAATAAGAATCAAATTACAAATTTTGAAAGCTTACTAATTCTCCAACATTCTATCACGTTATTCTATGATTAGTTAAATTCACTTTCTAAATATAGTACCTTTATTAAATACATTTATATTTACATCCATAGTACTATAATTATAACATTTATAATTCTGTTTTTTCAGAGCTACATTATTTGATCACCATAAACTAGCAGACTATTTAATTTCAGTGGTAACTATTCCATTTATTGGTTTATTATTATTATTTATAGTTGAAAAATTATATAATTACATAATTTTCAAAAATAATCTAATTTTAATTTCTTGCTTCTCAGCAAAAAAAAGTATACAAAAGGATGACTGACAGACTTGCAAGTAGAGTAGATTGTGTATGAATAGGTAAAGGCAGACATTACTGTGAAGTTCGAAGGGCCAAAGAGCACTTTTGGATATCCATTCGGTGTTTTTAGTGCAGGAAGTTTGCGGGTACATTGCAAGGAAAGCTGTTCATTTGCGGGTACATTGCAAGGAAAGCCTGTTAGAGGGTCCTAGAGGAGTGTGAGCTTGGGCAGTGATGCTTCTTCCTCCCTGGTGGCTTTAAGGTGGAGGCAGGACAGGCAGCACTGGGGAAGCTCCTATGGCAGCTGCCTCAGTGCCTCCTTTCAAACAATGAAAAACTGAGGAACTAAAGATTATTGTCAAAGGTTTATTGCAAGTGAAAACATGAAACATGAGATCATTTACACTCTGAGAAGTGGAATCAGTCAGCTTTTGAGTTGAATTTTTATAAGCCCATTATGCAGATAAATGTATGGTGAATTTATTTAAGCACACCATATCAGCAATGACGGATTTCCATTGGTAGTGTTGAACATTTTGTATTGTCAACAACAACTATTGAAATTGTGACACTTACCTAGAGGAGTCCTGGGGAGACTTATTATATATCTTAAACTATGTATTATATACCATAAACCTTAAACCTTGGTCATTCATGTTTTCATACAAAGGCTGTCGTCTCTTCATTGGGCAAGAGAACTGTGGTTTCACTGACCACCATGGAGCTTGCCAAGGGGATGCTGCCCCCATTGTCGGTGGGTCCCAAATGAACACAGAAATATCCATGCTTGGAGTTTAAGCTATTAATATTTTTTATTACTCTGTGTAAAGTGTAGAATTCTTTCCATGAAATTTTAAAAGGTCTTTGATTTCTTGTCATATCAAATATTATGATACATAATGGTTAACATTGACTTATTCATGTTAACAATATATGCTTAATGTGATTTTTAAATATAAATGTTCTCAAATAAATGTTTGAGTAAAATTTTACTTTAGGTTTTGAGTGATGTCAATTCAGTTATTTCAGTTTATCTATTTCGGTTAAAATAGGATTTTTTAAAAAGGGAATGTTTTTATGAAATTTTCTTAATCATATATGTAATTAATTTGGAAGACTTTTACAATTATACACATTTAAAATTTATTTCTTACAGTGGAAACTAAACTATTGATCTAGGTAAAAGGATATTATTTTTATGGTTTAAGTAGTAACTAGAGCTATTGCCAGGTGTCAATATGGAGCCTAACAAGAGAATCATTTTTTGTTGAAATTATTAAAGAATGCTTTGATTTATGATGATGCAACATATGAATTATGGAGACATTTTAAATTGTTCTATAATAAGTTGTATACTTTAGTGCTCGCCATAAAGTAGACACTCTGTATCAATGAATTAGCCTTATTTAGAGACTGCAATGTATGCTGATTTATCTGTTTGTAGTTTGTAAGCTCCTCGTTAAATGGGTTGTTTGATTTTTAGGGAGCAGATATTAATAGCATAGATTCTGAAGGACGCTCTCCACTTATATTAGCAACTGCTTCTGCATCTTGGAATGTTGTAAATTTGCTACTCTCTAAAGGTACCAAGAGGAACCAAGCCAAGTAATTGGAAGTATTACTTAATTTGGTTAGATGAACACTTACTAACCATCTATTATGTACCAGGCCCTGGGCCAGGTGCCATGAATACAAAGATAAATAGAACATGTTTTATGTCTAGAATAATTTTCAGTCCAGTAAGGGATCAATACTTAAAAAGATACTTTCAGAACAATAGTAAGTAACATTTATAAAGCAATTGTTGTACCCTAGGCATTTGCTGAATGTTTAATCAACTTTCTTTTAGTTTATCTGTCATATGTGGTATAGGCACTATAACTATCCCCATTGTAGAGTCTAACCTGGGCCTCTGATAAAGAAGAGGGGTCCTTCTCTGCTATCCTCCTCTTTCTTGATTTCTAATGTGCCTATATATTTATATTTTATGCTTGAAGAGGTAAGACCTCATGTATTTATGTAATATATCACATATTTTCTACTCCACTTACACACACACACACACACTTACACACACACTCACACACACACACACTCACACAGTAAGCCCATTTTTAATTATGTTTAGTTTTGTCATCTAAACAAAATTTCCTGTAAACTAAAAGTCAGTGAAATTTTAAGTCAAAACTTTTTTGGTAAGTTGAAATTCACATAAATGATGCATTAAATAAGTGAATAGAATTTATATTTACATTGTGCTTCTTTTTAGGTGCCCAAGTAGATATAAAAGATAATTTTTGACGTAATTTTCTGCATTTAACTGTGCAGCAACCTTATGGATTAAAAAATATGTGACCTAAGTTTAGCAGGTAATGTATATCTATGGATTTTCATTCACTAAGTTGGGTTCAACAGAGTATGAACTAATTTTGTTTATTATAATTTAATTATTATAAAAGCTGATTCTGGAATTTTAAGAATGTTTTAGAACAAAAATGGTAATGATAATTAATTGCATTGAGATTGAGTTTTTTAAGTTACAGGATTTCCTATACTATCATCTATGAGTATACATCTTTAACTTGCTTTTCTTTATTCTTTTATCATTATGATTTACGTATCAGTGGAAAACCAGCCATGGGTATGAATTATCAGCACTACATCATCAATTAAAAAAAACTACTCAGCATACTTGAGTTGCTGAGGACAGATTAAAAGTGTTATTTTCATATTTATATTCACCAGCTAATACTGAATGACTATCAAGTGCATGTGAAATTCACATTTTTATCATAAACAGATTTCAATATTGTCACTATCTTTAATAAGGAATGAAAAATATTATGTATTTGAAAATTTTCAGCAAAAATTGCAAAATGATAATTGATTAGACTAAGCTACTCATTTGTCATTCATTTTTAATTTACTATACATATAAAAGATAAAGCAAACCTAGTTTTAACATCCTTTCCATTTTACCTAACAGAAAATATTAACATGAAGCTGTTGGGTGTTATTTAGGGGTGTGGGGAAATGAGAGGAGGGGCAGAGGGAAGGGCTGTGATCAAATATGTTTGAAAAATCCTGAGTTAAAAATGTTAAGTACATTTTCCTATTTGTAGGATCTCTCAGAGCCTTTAATATAGTAATGTACATAACATGGAGACAGAGCATTCAACTTTATTCCCATTTATTTTATTCTGGTATCCTTTAGGCTATTTACATTTTTGACCCAAAGGAATACATGTTGACCCTTGTTGGAAAATATTTTCCCACAGAATAGTTTGAAAACCATCATATTAGCATAATAGCAGAATTATTTGTATAATATTAATTTTTTCCTATAGATGCAACAGATCAAAGAGCTGGTAATGGATGAAGAAAACTATGGGTGTACCCCTCTACATTATGCATGTAGACAGGGGGATCCTGGTTCTGTAAATAACCTTCTTGGCTTTAATGTGTCCATTCATTCCAAAAGCAAAGACAAAAAGTCACCTCTGCATTTTGCAGCCAGGTAGGAGTTCAGTCTAGCAATGTATGTCTTCTGTTTTATGTTTTCTTTGAAAATATGAAACCTAATTTTTTCCAAGTTATGGGCATATGAATACCTGTCAGAGGCTCCTGTAAGACATAACTGATATGAGGCTTCTGAATGAAGGGGACCTTCATGGAATGACTCCTCTCCATCTGGCAGCAAAGAATGGAAATGAAAAAGTAGTTCAGCTTCTTTTAAAAAAGGTGCATTGTTTCTCAGGTGAGGATATATGATTGGAGTGTTTAGTCTTTCTAATTAGCCATTTTCAGGCTATCTTTTCATTATATTTTAATTATGTTGTCACTAAGTAGTTTAACCCATTTTGTTTTATCATCAACACATATCTTCTTAAATACTGAAAGGGAAGTCAGTATCATTTCCAAGTGACAAAGACACTAAAGTTTCTAGAATTGAAGAACCTTGTTCAAGGTCACAGAATAAGTGGCTTTGAGCAGAGTCTTTCTCAGAATCTTTGAAATACAGTTTTTCATATTTTAGCTCATCCTGTTGGCATCTTCCAATGTAGATACAAAACGATGGTTGTGTATGTGAGGATTTGCATGCACACACACACGGACACACACACACACACACACACACACGGACACACACACACACGCACACACACACGGGGACACACACACACACACACACAAGTTCAAATACCTTACTTCTTCAATCTGATGAATGGTAGACATAAAAAGCTCCCCTTAAGTGACAACAGGAGACAGTAAAAATTTCTGAATTTTATTATGCTTAAAGGAAATCAAGCACAAGAAACAAAACCAAGTTAAAATATGTAATCATAATAAAATATGTGGCATAATTAAATGATATTGTTGTAAAAAAAGAAAAAAATTCTGGAAATAATTTACAGAGGTATTTCATTTGGTATTTCACCAAAGCAGTAGCAAAGAGCTTATTAGGCTAATGTTTAGAAACAAATTTTCTTGCCAGAATATTGATGCCAGAAAATTAAGTGATATGGCTGCAAAAATGAATGCTTTGCTGAGTTTCTTCTGGTTTACAAAGAAGCACCAAGCAACTGACCTACAAAGGCAACCCAAGTAGACCCAGACCAGACAGTTGTTGTTTAATTATATCATAACTGAAATAGCAACATGGCTCTTATACCCTAAAACATCTGCTCACTAGCACGGAAATTAAATTGCGTCAGAAAATGTTTTCTATGTTTAATTTGAAAAAAGTATTAGCAGTGTTACAAGGCCTCATTATATTTACAACTTAAATTTCTGTGAAAAAGAATAAACATTTTTTCAAAGTGATTGCGTAAGCCTCTTTGAGAGCACAAGAGGAAAGTGTTTCAGACTTGACCTATTAGAATAATAAGTAACATTAAGCTAAGTGTCTTAAAACCATGTACTATATTATTAGTAGTATTACCAATAACTATTGACCATGAAGACTAACACCACTTCATAAAAATTTTTTTGATACAATATTCAATGAAAAACTAAAACAATATTTAAATTGATGTGTATCAGTTCATTATAGCTTTGAAAAAATTATGTATGACACAGACACGTTAAGTATACTTCTACCCCAAAGTGTTTGGTAATGTGTTTATATACTTTCATATCTTAAACCACTAAATAAAAAATATGAGTGAATCACATTACAAGTAGATTAAGATCACCGAGCTTGAAATTCACTCATTTATTATAAATATTTCATAAATATTAGTTGCCAGATCTCAATTATGCTTTTTGTTGTCATCAAATTTACCTAGAAAGAGCCAGGTGGCATCCCATCCTGCATGTCATCTGTTAAGTATATGCACACATCTTTTCTCAACTCTTTATCAGTGACCCCAATGGCTGGACAGCTTTGCATCATGCATCCATGGGCAGATACACTCAGACCATGAAGGTCATTCTTGATACTAATTTGAAGTGCACAGATTCACATAGATGAAGACAGGGTGTGTACTGTGGTCCTCACACTTACCCAAAATCTTGACATAACAGAAACTTCCAGCATTACCAGAAAACCCTCCTAGACACCTTCTTTCCTTCTTTGCTCTTTTCCTAGGCTTTTTGGGTTTTTAGCAAGCAGACTCTTGAGGTGAAGTATGAATCAAAAACAACAGAAATGGGAGAATACCAAGGGCTGGGTGAATGTTGAGAAAACCCCTAGTCTCACAGAGGCTGGTCCACAGGCCACTGTGAGTCGATGGTAAAGCTTTTACTCCCTGGTAGACTCGGAAAAATGAAGGAAGGGGTAGGTTTTCATTAAAATAAGTGCATTATTTTAAAGTGTGTTGACTTGAAGGACTGCCCTTTATTGTGCTATTATGTCCTTCCTTCTTTTGGGGAGAATAACTATTGAAATGTACATTTGTAATGACAGAGATGCATAATTGTTGTTGCCTTTTTAAAAAAAAAAAAAAAAGTCATGGGGAAACTAAACATGGTCAACCTTATAACAGTCTCTGTTTTTTTAAAAACGTACAAGCTTGGGAAATCCCAAATCTGTAGGGCACTGCTCTACCAGAGGATAAATCACAGGAGTATTTTCTTCTGTGTTCGACCCAATATCTTTTTACCCTGAAAGCTTGTCCTTTGTCCTTGTGGAATCATTCCATTGCAAAAGCAACACAAAACGACCCCCTTGGAATTCATTCTCTCTGTTTCTTTCTCTCTGTCTCTCTGTCTTTGTCTCTGTCTCTCTCTGTCTCTCCCCTGCCCCACCCCCCCCCACACACCCACTTCCCACACATACACAAACAGACCAACTTCTCACACATGCACACTCACACCATGTTTGAACTATAACCGCATTATTTTGAAGCTTGAGCACCAGTTTTAAATGCTACATATTTTGGTATTAAATACTTAGTGTTGCTAAGATCTTTTAAGCAATTCAGCAGTGAAACACGGCAGATTAGGCATCGTCACCACAATTTCCGTGTCCCTTTTTTCAAAAGAATACTGCGCTTCATTTTGCTGCAAGGGAAGGCCACGCCAGAGCTGTTGCCCTTCTGAGCCACAATGCTGACATAGTCCTGAACAAACAGCAGGCCTCCTTTTTGCACCTTGCACTTCACAGTAAGAGGAAGGAGGTGGTTCTTTAGACCATCAGGAGCAAAAGGTACACTGTCTTCCTGCCCACTGTCATTAAGTGTTTTCTGGTGTCGGGGATGATTCAAAGTCTAAGAGAAAATAAGGGAAAAGAAATGAGTTTCAGCCATTAATCAGAATTTTGAAATATCAGTTGTTTACCTAAATTTTTAAGAAGTCTTTACTTTTTAATTTGTGTGGGTACATAGTAGGTATATGTATTTATCAGGCACATGAGATGTTTTGATACAGGCTTGCAAGGCATAATAAACACATCGTGGAGAATGGCGTATCTGTCCCCTCAAGCGTGTATCTTTTGTGTTACAAGCAATCCAACTATACTCCTTTAGTTCTTATTTTTAAATTTTTACGTAATTTTCAAACGAATTTTTTAGTGACAACAGGCACATTACTTTACCTCTGTGATCTTCCATTTATATTTATTAACAAAATAAAATATGGGCACATTAAGACCAAGCTTCACAGCACTCTTAGGAGACTCCAGGGGTTCAGGCATGTGTAGTGTCTGGCACCATGTCACTGTCAAGCAAACTCTGCACTGCCCTCCGTGAACTTGCCTGACAGGTGCCAACAGAAACCCTAAAACTGGATGCTGGCAAAAATATTATCCAAGGTAACTACAGGTTGTTATCAGTGTCTTCTAGTGGGGTATCTCTTAGCACATAATCTTTTGTGGTTGTGGGTTTCCAAACCGTGTTCTGAGAGTTTTAATTATGAAAGTTATAGGTTAGTTTGTCCATAATATCTCATAATATCACTTTCTGTATAATCACAGATAGACATGCGCACTCAGTGTCACTTAATAGTGGATGCAGAGTGAACAATCTCATAGTCAAGGCAGATCAAGCCCTTGTTTTTGAGCATGGGCAGTCTCAAAAATCTTCTGTTGATTGTTCCTTTAAAGCTCTTTTTAATGAACGTGTTCAACCAGAACTTTTCTATTGATAATACAGATACACTAGATGGGTTTTACTGATAGAGTTAACAGAAAACATGATAGGATCTTGGAGACAAATGGGCTCTTCTCTGTATCCTGCTGTAGATTTAGTTCTTCCTCGGTGGTAAGCACCTTCTTACCCTGTTCAGTTGAATGATGAAGAAAAGGGGCCAACTTTTCTTTGCAGAGGCTCTGCTCCTCAATTCACTTCACATGTGTTAATTTGTAGTTCACGTCATCAGTTAGCTATTAAATATCGGCCCAGTACTACATTGATGGTATAGGTATGTGAATGTGGAATCTGCACCCAACATGATTAGGTCTGTAAGTACTTACTATTTTATGACTTCAGGATAGAAAGAAAATATAGTTCTGGCTTCTTTGAAAGACATTTAGAAGAACAGACAGAACAATGCTTGTAACAGCTATCCCAAAATGTTCTCATATTCCTAATGTCTATTAATGGACAAGGATCCTATTACTGGGTTGATCTTGATTTACATGTTGCTTCCATCAGAACCAAGGGCAAACATTGCATTTCATGAATAAGATTAAGTTTAAATTTCTCCTAAAGAAATAATCTTGAGTTTCAACTGTTGTGAGAACAGAAGGTTGAAAACCTATGCTTGTCTTATGTATTCATTTTTTTACAGACGGGATGAATGTCTTAAGGTTTTTAGTCATAATTCTCCAAGCAATAAGTGTCCAGTTTTGGAAATGATAGAATACCTCCCTGAATGCATGAAGGTAAGCTCTCTAAAACAAAACTCTTCCTGGGGTTATGCTTGGCATATATGATGTGAAGATTTATTGTCATAATCCAACCTAATAATAATTTCTATGATGAAATAAAGCTTCTAGTTTCCCATAGGCTATCAGGGAATTTAGACAATAAATATTTAATGAGGACCTTCTTGGATTAAAGAATCCTATTAGTTATTATGTGTAATGCAGGATAATATGGTAAACAGATTTTTTTATTCAAACAATCTGTGCCTATAAAAGAGACTACAAACCAGTGTTTGCTGGCTGAATAAAGCCTTAAAATACGTTTTGTTTAGCATGCATGTTATTGCTGTTTCAAATTTGCATTCATTGCTAACATTTGAAACCAGGATGCTTTCTTTAAGGTTTCACATATCTGGCTTCTCATAAGAATGAGATTTGGTACCTGAGCCTGCCTTCTCACGAGGCAGGAATTGCTGGGAGGATGGGGCAATCACTCTCTTGTTTGAAAAGCCCCACCTCTTCCTTTCTATACTGAGCTCCAGTGCCTAGTGTTAATTGTCACATATAGCCATTCTTATGCAATTGTTTTCCTTAGAGTAGAGAAATACTGAATTACGGCTCTATCTGAACTGTAAAGATTAAAGCTTGCCTGAGGAGAGCCAACATCTCAAGAACAATGGGAAAAAACTCTTATGCCTGGCATGGTTTATTTGCATTGTGTGACTCCCTATGCTACATTAAATACACACCCACATATGACCTGACACCCCATATAAGACAAACATGCACAAACTGCTGAGCAGGTGAGTATTAAAGGGTGCAAATAAAAGATCTGGGAAAGTTGGGATTTGAGGGTTGGGACAGATAGAAAAAGCAGAATCACTTCAAATGTCATGCAAAGGGAAACATATATTCAAATACTGGAGGAGGCCGGAAGATAGAATGACGGAGGGAATAGAAGACCAGATTTGGAGACTTCTGGAGGTCATGGGATTTAATTCTGGTGCTTCCTCTTCCTGTGCTGCTTAGGTAAGTCATTTCACCTCTCTGAGATTTATTTTCTGTTTTATTTTTGTCTAAAACAATGATGCTGAGTTTACAGAGTGAATACAGAAGTAGAGGTAAAATATACAAAGTGCTAAGGATAATGGTTTGTATATAATATACCTCCTAGTTTTTTATACTGCTCATGTGGTTATTATTAAAAAACATTAAGCTGGTTTTTCTGTTTCAAAGTTACTTTTAGATTTCTGCATTTTGTTTTTATTTATTGAATACAGACTTTCTATGTGCTAAACGTTGTGTGCATTTTTTTCCTTATAATGCCTAATGAAAATTGGAGCCAGTACTAGTACAAATAGTGTAGAGATTATCTTGATAGGTGGCTAAATCTCATCAAAGGAAGCATAAATACTCAAGGTTGAAAATGATCTCAAACTTTCTTATTCAGTGATCATAGTTGTTAGAATCCGTCTTAATGAATAATCAGAGATACAGACAGATTTATATAGAATGCTTCCTGCAGCATCATTTATAATTATAAAAAGGTGAAATATTCACATGTGAAAACATAGTAAAGAACTAACATTATACCACAATGTTAATAAGAATGGTCTGTTATAGGATTGTGCATAGTTTTTAGTTTCTTCTTTATGCTGCTATGTTTTCTAGGTAATTTTCTATAATGACTTGCTTGTATTACTTTGGTATTGTGAATACTTTTTAAGGAAATAAATGAACTTAAATTAATTTACCTCAACATAACACATTTGAATTACTTATACAACATTTGTGAAAAGTTGCTCTTGCAATCTGTCCAGCTCTCACCCAAGGCAGCCCATCCTTTATTTTGCCCATGTTGATTACTAACACGTTTTCAAACTCTAATAACCAGACATGCCTGTTTCTACCTTGAACAGCAGTACTGACTAATCTTGTCTTTATTTTTCATAATGTTTGTTAAGATCCCCTGTACTGCCATGCAGTCACCAATAGAGTCTTCCTTGAAGTTTTCTAAGTCCCTTTGGTATCTGAGACCATCCAGGGCCCTGTTTCTTCCCTTCTAGATATAGTCTGACCCTGTACCTCAAGTTCTGCAGGTGGGGCCCACCAGCTGCCTCAGGAGCTCCTGTTGGCATTGATGGCTCCATATGGGGTATTGTGTCTAGTCATGGTTCCAAGAGGGCAGCCTGGCCAAGTGATGTTTCTTTCTCAAGATCATAAATTTGGACCACCAGATTTGAGGTGTCTCAAATTGTTTATGCAACCCCACAAAATTTTTTTACCACACATCATAGGTGGCTCTAGTGACTCTATAAGTGTTCTTTCTCTGAGTTAAATATCTAGAGGGTTCATCTATTTCTTGTTACAGCATCTTCCCCCACTATCTTGTCTACCTGCCTCTAAACACATACTCTCTCCATGTTGCTTGGAATACGAGGTATAGAAACAAACATATTACTCCAGACTGGGGCAATTCAGAAGATTGAACCTAAACCATAGAAAGATTCCAGTCCTGGGATGAAACATCTTGATTAGGGATGAAGTTGTCACTGTAAGAAACTGAGCAAAGGAATCAGACATATTGACTATCCCTTATCTGAATTGCTTGGGACCAGAAGTATTTTGGATTTCAAAATGTTGGCCTACATATACTGGGTTATCATAGTATGAGTATGTGAGCATACTTGGATATGAGCTCCAAGTATATATACAGAATTCATTTGTGCTTCATGGAATCCTTAAAAGCATAGCCTACAGTTAACTTTTTACAATATTTTAAATAATTTTGTGCATGAAACAAAGTTTGTGTTAAGCACTTTTGTGGGGAATTTTCCACTTGTGACATTGTGTGGGTGTTCAAAACATATCGGAATGTTAGATTTTCAGATTAGGGTTGCTCAACCTGTAATTTATATATCCTTTAGAAGCCCAGAAAGACACCAAATCTTAGGCAAAACTAGTAGAAGATCTCTTCCCCAAATTTTAGTGCATGCAATTTCACTCTCAAGCACATGGTATTTTTCTGAATTACTTGTTTTTTTTCTGAAACATGCAGATGTATTTGTAACAGTTTGTATGTTAAACTTTGTTCCTGGTTGACATAGATTATAATTTGTCCTTAAGATGCAAAAAGCCAGGAAAAGGAATGAAAATATCTTTCTGAAACATGCAGATGTATTTGTAACAGTTTGTATGTTAAACTTTGTTCCTGGATGACATAGATTATAATTTATCCTTGAGATGCAAAAAGCCAGGAAAAGGAATGGAAATATCTTGTGTGTTTTTTTTTTATATGGGACAAAATTCTTTCTAATATATAGTGGGCTACCGCTATAGCTGGTTTTTCTGTTTCAAAGAAACTTTTAGATTTCTGCATGTTGCCTTCCACAATGGACAAGTCCTGCCAAGACTACCACATAAGTTTATTTTATCATTATACTTTGAAATTTATTTTTTATAATTATTTGAAAAATATTAAAAATGTTGTTACTATAGATGTGTAATCTACTGGAGATGTCAAATATTGGTCTCTTTTTTCCATATGATTGTGTTTCTGCTTGTAAGATAGTTTTTTCCTTTACCTCCTCAGTTTTCCCCTAATATTTTAGTAGTTTCTAATAGCATCATTTAGTGTTATTTCTAGTCTTTATATTTCCTTGGGTAGTTTTGCCTTAATAGTTAAGATCTAAAAAATCAAAATAATCTCTTGAGAATTCATCTTTTTCCATGCCCATGGGATATAGAGCAATTGAATAACATCCTTTTGGGATATTTATTTTTATAATTAATATGCAATAATATATCTTTTCTTCACTCCAAATGATTCAACTTAGTTCAAATCACTTGATTTTTAGCAGAACTGTAAACTTTTATATTTGATTTTTCAAGAATTAGTTTTTGATTTTGTTATTTTAATGTTTTATACTTTGAAAAGAATAAGCATCAAAGGCAAATATTGGCATTAAAATACTGGCATTCTTTATCATTAAATGAAATATTTAGGAGGTGGGAGAAAATTATTATAGAAGACACAAGAAGCTTCCTAGAGCCTACAATTTGTCTATCTTTAACATTAAATGAATATTTGGAGAATGGGAAGGAATTATTATGTCAAACATGGAAAGGTACTCTGGAGCCTACAGTGTAGTGGGCAATGAAGTGAGAGGTGTGTTCTGCGAAGAGTGTTCATCTTGGTGTCAGATTATATGGGCTAAAGATGGCAATCATTCATTAATTTGTTAAGTCATAATTTCCTCAGAACTTGAGATTCCTTCTCTGAAAATGAAAAAGGTGAATTACATGATTTACTTCATTTCAAACTTCAGTGAATTTCCCAACCACGTTCCTGAAAGAGATTACTACCACTTTCCCCACAGGTATCTTAAGGAAATATTTTTGTTTAAATTGACTCAATTCTGGTTCGCTTATTTTTTTGTAGTTTGGCTTATGGATTTAAAGCCCATATGATACAACTAGGATTTTACTATCTTAGTCTCATACCTATGACCTTTCTTGTTGTCAGTATAAAACCAGGAATGGTTTTCAACTCAACTGGAATCATCTATAAAACTAGTGATTATTCAGAAATACTAGATACCATGGTAATTTAAAATTTTAACTTTTTAAAGTAAAGGATTGTTAAAACATTTTTTGTAAGAATACTAAACCCATAATAAATCTGAAATGTCAAGACTTTAATTATTATAAATAGCCTGTAAAAATTTGTATATGGTATTAATTTCTTCTAAAATCCTTTGTGGAATGAAAGGGAATAGAAACAAACATGTCAATTGTGAGTTTGTAAACTAATTTAAAAGGAACTGACATACATTAGATGCTAGCTCAAATGCTGAAGTGTAAAACTTTAAAATAGGTCTACAAGAAAGCACTTTTGTAGTTTCCAGGGACCGTGGGTTGTGGGGAATGAAGCATTCCCCTTCATTCCCTTATCTATGGAACTAGATAATGGTGATGGTGGTATAACATTGTGGATACACCAATTGCCACTGAATTTTATATTTTAAATTGTAAATATATGTGTAAAATGTAAGACCTTTAAATGGAAAATTTTATGTATTATGTGTATTTTACCACAATAAAAACTTTATGTAGGTCTACAGGTTCATATTCTTTATAATTCCATTGGCAATTTTTGAACTTCTCTTAATAATGACATTCTGAAATGTGGGTGTGTTCATCTCTAGTAAATGATATGAGTATTTGCATCAGTTAAATTTCTATTTAACCCAAATGTAGACAGTATGTGGAAATTAAGTAAAATAAGTAAAAAAAAAGAAATTTAATAGTAGAAATTGTGAAAATATTAAAGTTTTTTATTCCTCCTAACTATCTTATCCTTTTTTGTTTTAGAATTCATGTAGAGTAAAAACATGTATGATTTTAGTTTTTTCCTCAAGTATATTTGGGTATTTCGAGGAAGTGCTCCAAATTTTCCAACAGGTATGTAATACATTCTGTATTTCTAAAGTTGCAAATATTTTAATTTTCAGAATGTAAATTGATTGATGAGCTATTACTCAAGATAACATTATGTCATAATAAACTCATATAGCTTGACTAACATATAGATTAGAAATACCAAACATATTGGCCTGAAATTTTCTTTTTTAATTATGTCTCTGCCAGGTTTTGGTATCAGGATGATGTTGGTCTCATAAAATGAGTTAGGGAGGATTCCCTCTTTTTGTATTGCTGGGCATAGTTTCGGAAGGAATGGTTCCAGCTTCTCTTTGTAGCTCTGGTAGAATTTGGCTGTGAACCTCTCTGGTCCAGGACTTTTTTTGGTCAGTAGGCTATTAATTGCTGCCTCAACTTCAGACCTTGTTATTGGTTTATTCAGGGATTTAACTTCTTCCTGGTTTAGTCTTGGGAGTGTTTAAGTGTCCAGAAATTTATCCATTTCTTCTAGATTTACTGGTTTATGTGCATAGAGGTGTCTGCAGTAATCTCTGATGGTAGTTTGTACTTCTGTGGAATCAGTGACGATATCCCCTTTATTGTTTTTTATTGCATCTGTTTGATTCCTCTCTCTTTTCTTTTTTATTAGTCTGGCCAGTGGTCTATCTATTTTATTGATCTTTTCAAAAAACCAACTCCTAGATTCATTGATTTTTTGAAGAGTTTTTTTATGTCTCTATCTCCTTCAGTTCTGCTCTGATCTTAGTTATTTCTTGTCTTCTGCTAGCTTTTGAATTTGTTTGATCTTTCTCCTTTAGTTCTTTTAATTGTGGCAATATGGTGTCGATTTTAGATCTTTCCTTGTTTCTCAGGTGGACATTTAGTGCCATAAATTTCCCTCTAGGCACTGCTTTAAATGCGTCCCAGAGATTCTGGCACATTTTGTCTTCATTCTCATTGGTTCTGAAGAACATCTTTATTTCTGCCTTCATTTTATTATTTATCCAATAGTCATTCAAAAGCAGGTTGTTCAGTTTCCATGTAGTTGTGTGGTTTTGGGTGTTTCTTAATCCTGAGTTCTAATTTGATTGCACTGTGGTCTAAAAGACCATTTGTTATGATTTCTGTTCTTCTGCATTTGCTGAGGAGTGATTTAGTTCCAATTATGTGGTGAGTTTTAGAGTAAGTGTCATGTGGTGCTGAGAAGAATGTATATTCTGTGGATTTGGGGTGGAGAGTTCTGTAGATATCTGTTAGGTCTGCTTGGTCCAGCTCTGAGTTCAAGTGCTGGATATCCGTGATAATTTTCTGTCTTGTTTATCTGTCTAATATTGACAGTGGAGTGTTCAAGTATCCCACTATTATTGTGTGGGAGTCTAAGTCTCTTTGTAGGTCATTAGGAACTTGCTTTCTGTATATGGGTGCTCCTGTATTTGGTGCATATATATCTAGGATAGTTAGCTCTTCTTGTTGCATTGATCCCTTTACCATTTTGTAATTCCCTTCATTGTCTCTTTTGGTCTTTATTGATTTAAAGTCTGTTTTATCAGAGACTAGGATTGTTGTAACGCCTGATATTTTTTGCTTTCCATTTGCTTGGTACGTCTTCCTCCATCCCTTTATTTTGAGTCTATGTGTGTCTTTGCACATGAGATGGGTCTCCTGAATACAGCACACCAAAGGGTCTTGAATCTTTATCCAATTTGCCAGACTGTGTCTTTTGACTGGGGCATTTAGCCCCTTTATATTTAAGGTTAATACTGTTATGTGTGAATTTAACCCTGCCATTTTGATACTAGCTGGTTGTTTCTCCTGTTAGTTGATGCAGTTTATTCATTGTGTCAATGGTCTTTACCATTTGGTATGCTTTTGCGGTGGCTGGTTCTGGCTGTTCATGTTTAGTGCTACCTTCAGGAGCTTTTGTAGGTCAGGCCCGGTGGTGACAGAATCTCTCAGCAATTGTTTGTCTGCAAAGAATTTTATTTCTCCTTCACTTATGAAGCTTAGTTTGGCTGGATATGAAATTCTGGGCTGAAAGTTATTTTCGTTAAGGATATTGAATATTAGCCCCCAGTCTCTTCTGGCTTGTAGGGTTTCTGCTGAGAGAACTGCTATGAGTCTGATGGGCTTCCCTTTCTGGCTAATCCTACCTTTCTCTCTGGCTTCCCTTAGCATTTTTTCTTTCATCTCAACCCTGGCGAATTGGATGATTATGTGCCTTGGGGTTGCTCTTCTTGAGGTATATCTATGTGCTGTTCTCTATATTTCCTGGATTTGAACGTTGGCCTGCCTTGCTAGGTTGGGAAAATTCTCCTGGGTAATATCCTGAAGAGTGTTTTCCAGCTTGGTTTCATTCTCACCATCACATTCAGGTACACTGATCAAATGTAGAGAAGGTCTTTACTCATAATCCCATATTTATTGGAGGCTCCGTTCATTTCTTTTCACTCTTTCTTCTCTAATCTTGCCTTTTTGTTTTATTTCATTGAATTGATCTTCAATCCCTGATATCCTTCTTCTGCTTGTTCAATACAGCTATTGAAACAGGCCAATATCCATGATGAATATTGATGCAAAAATCTACAATAAAATACTAGCAAACTGAATCCAACAGCACATCAAAAAGCTTAGCCATCACAATCAAGTTGGCTTCATCCTGGGGATGCAAGGCTGGTTCAACATGTGCAAATCTGTAAACACAATCCATCACATAAATAGAACCAAAGACAAAAACCACATGATTATCTCAATAGATGCAGAGAAGGTCTTTGACAAAGTTCAACAGTTTTTTTAATGCTAAAAACTCTCAATAAACTAGGTATCAATGGAATTTATCTCAAAAGAATAAAAGCTATTTATGACAAACCCACAGCCAATATCATACTGAATGGGCAAAAACTGGAAGCATTCTCTTTGAAAACTGGCACTAGACAAAAGTGCCCTCTCTCACCACTCCTATTCAACATAGTATTAGAAGTTCTGGCCAAAGCAATCAGGCAAGAAAAAGAAAGAGAGGGTATTCAGTTAGGAAAAGAGGAAGTTAAATTATCTCTATTTGCAGACAACATGATTATATATTTAGAAAACCCCATTTTCTCAGCCTAAAATTTCCTTAAGATAATAAGCAACTTCAGCAAATTCTAAGGATACAAAACCAATGTGCAAAAATCACAAGCATTCCTATACACCAATAACAGCCAAATCTTGAGTGAACTCCCATTCACAATTGCTACAAAGAGAATAAATTAACTAGGAATACAACTAACAAGGGACGTGAAGGACCTCATAAAGAGTAACTACAAACCACTGCTCAAGGAAATAAGAGTGGACACAAACAGATGGAAAAACATTTCATGCTCATGGTTAGTAAGAATCAATATCATGAAAATGGCCATACTGCCCAAAGTAATTTATAGATTCAATGCTATCCCCATCAAGCTACTGTTGACCTTAAACTTCATTTGGAACCAAAAAAGAGCCCACACAGCCAAGAAAATTCTAAACAAGAACAAAGCTGGAGGCATCACACTACCTGACTTCAAACTATACTTCAAGGCTACAGTAATTAAAACAGCATGGTACTAGTACCAAAACAGAGATATAGACCAATGGAACAGAACAGAGTCATCGTAAGTACTGGCACACATCTACAACCATCTGATCTTTGACAAACCTGACAAAGACAAGCAATGGGAAAAGGATTCCCTGTTTAATAAATGGTGTTGGGAAAATTGGCTGACCATGTTCAGAAAACAGAAACTAAACCCCTTTCTTACAACTTATACAAAAATTACCTCCAGATGGATTAAAGATTTAAATATAAGACCTAACACCATAAAAAGCCTAGAAGAAAACCTAGGCAAAACCATTCAGGACATAGGAAAGACCTGGACTTCATGACTAAAATACCAAAAGCAATGACAGCAAAAGCCAAAATAGACAAATGGGATCTAATTAAACTTAAGAGCTTCTGCACAGCAAAAGAATCAATCATTAGAGTGAACCAGCAACAAACAGAATGGGAAAAAATATTTGCAAGCTGCCCATCTGACAAAGGGCTAATATCCAAAATCTACAAAGAACTAAAACAAATTTGCAAGAGAAAACAACCCCATCAGAAAGTGGGCAAAGGATATCAACAGACAGTTTTCAAAAGAAGACATTTATGTAGTCAACAAACAAAAAAAATGCTCATCATCACTGGTCATTAGAGAAATGCAAATCAAAACCACATTGAGATACCATCTCACACCAGTTAGAATGGCAATCATTGAACATCAGGAGACAAAATACACTGGAGAGGATGTGGAGAAATAGGAACACTTTTACACTGTTGGTGGGAGTGTAAATTAGTTCAACCATTGTAGAAGACAGTGTGGCGATTCCTCAAGGATCTAGAAATAGAAATACTATTTGACCCAGTAATCTCATTACTGGGTATATACCCAAAGGATTATAAATTGTTCTATTATAAAGACATATGCACATGTATGTTCATTGTGGCACTGTTTACAATAGCAGAAACTTGGAACCAACCCAAATGCCCATGAATGATAGACTAGATAAAGAAAATATGGCACATATACACCATGGAATATTATGCAGCCATAAAAAGATGAGTTCATGTCCTTTGCAGGGAAATGGATGAATCTGGAAACCATCATTCTCAGCAAACTGAAAACCAAACACCACACGTTCTCACTCATAAGTGGGTGTTGAACAATGAGAACACATGGACACAGGGAGGGGAACATCACACACTGGGTCCTATTAGAGGGAAGAGGGGTTAAGGGAGGGATAGCAGGGGTTGGGAGGATTGGGGAGGGATAACATTAGGAGAAATACCTAATGTAGGTGACGGGGGATGGATACAGTGAACCATCATGGCATGTGTATACCTATGTAACAATCCTGCTAGATCTGCCCATGTATCCCAGAACTTAAAAGTATATTTTAAAAATGGTTAATTAAATGTTATGTAAACTTAAAAAAAAAGAAATACCACCCATAAATGTCTCAAAATGTAGAAGTCATATGATTTTAGGTAAGGTCACTGCCTGTTTGATACATCTATAAAAGAGATGCTCCACTTTTACTGTTCCCTAAAGACCTGCCTGTCTACACATGGTCATTATGAGTCTCCTTTCTGGCTTTTCTCTTCCATAGTTTTAAAGATTTTGCTAACATAATGGTTAGATTTTGAACTTATAATTTTAAATGTAAATGTTTATAAAGAAGTTATCTGACCCAAAGCTCCATTTCCAATGGACTTTCTTTGAAATTTAACAGAAATGCTTTTCTTTTAAATAAAAGTCCAAGTTTTAATATAATTTTGGAACTTTTATAGCATAATTTTTACTTTATCTTCTACTTTTCTAATGAGTGAGCCAAGTTCAGATCAGAACCAAGTATATAAATTATCTGCGGGTCCTTTTTTTGGTTGATAAATGGCATGAATCCTTCATTTCTCAGTATGGAGGTAAAGTCTTTTATACTTTGTTGTATATTTTTATGAGTATTATTTTTATAAATCATATATCTTTTATATAACACCTCTCTGAAATTTTCTTTGTTGTATCATGTAAGCGCATAGATACTGGCATTTATAAATTTGATGATAATAATGCTTTGCATTTTTATCATTGTGGAGTGGACTCCACAGGGAAAACCCAGCAATTTGTAGGCATCAACATCAGACTCCCACAACACCAGGTAACAGAGGACCCTAGGCCATCTCCAACACCGATCCAATCCCCAGGGGCTCTGAAGTCAATCCAGGATGGCATAACGTTACTCCTTGGTCCTAAACATCCCCCAGATGGCTATAAAGCTAAAACATTTTATTACCGGGTACATATATATAACTATCTATAGATGCAAGGTCTCTATGTGGTAATTTTTTATTCTTTTCTATCCCAGGAAAGGAATTACTTTATGGAGATTAACAATATTGTCGAATGGATTATCTACACAACGGGCATCATTTTTGCGCTGCCCTTGTTCACTGAAATACCAGCTCATGTGCAGTGGGGATGTGGAGCAATGCCTATTTACTTCTATTGGATTAATTTTGTATTGTATCTTCAAAGGTAAAACAAGTTTGAATGATTTCCCCATCCCTTAAGCATTTCTTAATATCAAAAGAAAAACTATTATAAGTGGTGTAAATTTGAAACTGGCTTATTCCTTTTCCAGTTGTTTAAAAATGTGAAGAATTTTTTATACCCTATTAAGGAAAGGCTGGAGTATGGTTCCAGAGTTCAGAACGTAGACCGGAGTTTCTCACACTTGGTACTATTGAACTTTGTGGCCAGATAATTCTTTCTCTTTTTTTTTCCCTGAAGGGGGCGCTGTCTTGTATACTGTAAAATGCTTAGCAGCATTCCTGGCTCCTGGCTTCTACCCACTAGATACCAATAGTAACTACCCACTCCAGTTGTGACGAAAAACAGACAATGCCAGATGTTGCCTGGGTGCCAAATGAGCGCAGGTCAAGAACACTGGCCTAGACAAATATAGATTAAATGAGGGAAGTAGATCGGAAAAGTATTGGCTTTTTTTTTTCTTTTTCCGAACACAAACACCAGTATATTTTATATGCACAAATATGAAAAGGAAGAGACAGAGGGACCAATGGAGACACAGAGCAGGCAATGGGCACACAAACCGTTGTGTGTCCTTCTCAAGAGCTGCCCAGCTGGGAGATGGTCCCACCCACTTCAAAGACCCTTTAGCAGAGCTGGGGCCTGCAGCTCCTCCAGGTCTGGGTGGCCCCAGGCTGGAAGGCATACTCCCTGCCATGGCTCCTCTAAGGGCTGGGCCTCTCACCTGTCTGCATCCCAGGGTAATGCCTGCACAGTCCAGGGCTTCATAAATGCAGGTTCTCATGAACTGACCCACTCAGCAGCTGCCTCCCCAAGAGACCCATGCAGAGTGAGGGACCAGGACAAAAGGGCTTCATGGGCACTCCCTAGGTATTATTGCTGTGAATAAGCATAGGCCATCGTGACTCACTGGCATTGAAGAGGGGACAGGGCACATGGGATAGGATGCCTTGCAGACATCAGAAGCAGTTCAACCATGCAGGGTAGCACATTGCAATCTGTAACTCAGAGATGCTGCCATGTCCAGTGGAGAGAGGCCCAGGACACCAGAGGTTCACGAACAGCAGGCAAACACTCCCCAACCCAGCACACTTAATGCTTGGCAGGGCTGGGATTATTCCAAACTTTGAGTCCCTGGGCACTAAGGGATTGGGGCCCTGATACCCAGAAAAGCAAGAGTTGAAGTCTGGGCTATCCCCGGTGAGATCTGAACCCTTGGATCCTGTGGTCAGGTCATGGGTTGTTGCCTTCCTTTGCCGGAGGTTTGATGCTCTATGAAGGGCAGTTGGAGCAATGGGACACCTAGATTGAGCAGAAACACAATGCCGGATGTTGCCAGGCACACAGGTGTACCCCAAGACAATCTGCACTTGGGAGCTTATAGGATCCAGAGAGTAAATGGTGCCAGGGAATGCCCACAAGGCAACATCTGGAGCAGCAAGACCTGGTAGACCATTCAAGGACTTGCTCTGGCTGAGAATAGCTCGTCACTGGACTCAGTTGTGGAATGGGGCTGTAAAGATGGGTAGTGGGGTCTAGGAGCCCACATGGAAGGCCTGAAGGGGTGCTGGGAGACTGAGACAACATGGAGTTGGGGAGAGAACCAAGCAGACAATTGCCCAGTGAGAACAGGGAAGCCAGACAATATTTGACCCCACAGGCACCTACCACGGGGACAGCGACCTGCAGCTGGAGCACATCAATGTGTACTATAACGAGGCCACCGGCGCCAAGTACGTGCCCCGCACAGTCCTTGTGGATCTGGAGCCTGGCACCATGTACTCCCTGCGCTCTGGGCCCTTCCGGCAGATCTTCCAGCTGGACAACTTCGTTTTCGGTCAGAGTGGTGCTGGGAACAACTGGGCCAAGGGGCACTACACAGAAGGCACAGAGCTGGTGGACTCAGTGCTGGACGTTGTGTGGAAGGAGGCTGAGAGCTGTGACTGCCTGCAGGGTTTCCAGCTGACCCACTCCTTGGGTGGGGGAACTGGGTCTGAGATGGGTACCCTCCTTATCAGGAAGATCCGGGAGGAGTACCCAGACAGGATCGTGAACATGTTCAGTGTGGTGCCCTCCCCCAAGGTGTCAGACACGGTGGTGGACCCCTACGATGCCACCCTCTCAGTCCACCAGTTTGTAGAGAACACAGATGAGACCTACTGCATCGATAATGAAGTGCTCTACAACATCTGCTTCAGAACCCTCAAGTTGACGACGCCCACCTACAGGGACCTGAACTACCTGGTGTCTGCCACCATGAGTGGGGTCACCACCTGCCTGCGCTTCCCAGGCCAGCTCAATGCTGACCTGCACAAGCTGGCCGGGAACATGGTCCCATTCCCCTGCCTGCACTTCTTCATGCCTGGCTTTGCCCCGCTGACCAGCCGGGGCAGCCAGCAGTACCGGGCCCTGACGGTGCCCAAGCTCACCCAGCAGATGTTTGATGCCAAGAACATGATGGCAGCCTGTGACCCCCGCCATGGCCGCTACCTGACAGTGGCCACCGTGTTCAGGGGCTGCATGTCCATGAAGGAGGTGAAAGAGCAAATGCTTAATGTTCAAAATAAGAATAGCAGCTACTTTGTTGAGTGGTCCCCGAAAAGGTGAAAACGGCTGTCTGCGACATCCCGCCCCAGGGGCTAAAAATGTCTGCCACCTTCATCGGCAACAGCACAGCCATCCAGGAGCTGTTCAAGGGCATCTCGGAGCAGTTCACCGCCATGTTCCGGTGCAAGGTCTTCCTGCACTGGTACACAGACGAGGGCATCGATGAGATGGAGTTCACCGAGGCCAAGAGCAACATGAACAACCTGGTGTCCGAGTACCAGCAGTACCAGGACGCCATGGCTGAGGAGGAGGGCGAGTTAGAGGAGGAGGCTGAGGAGGTGGCCTAGAGCCTCCAGTCCCGGGGAAAGCAGGGAAGCGGTGTGAACTCTTTATTCACTCACAGCCTGTCCTCTGGGCTGTCCCACTGCGTGTGCGCCTGCTGTTTTCCCTTTCATACTCCATGCTGTACAGACACCACCATTAAAGCTTTTCATAGTGAAAAAAATATTGTTTTACCTGATATTATATGTAAGCATTTACTTTGTATTAAAACACTCAAAGTGAACAAATAGATAGTACGTGGGATCAAAGTGGTATAAAAGAAAAAATAAGCCCAAATAATTTAATTCTAGAGGAAAAAAGGCTGAGTACTGTAGCCTCTGACAGTTGGTAATATTGAATTTCATGTTATTTCACATCTTTCCAGTAAAGACGCTAATGTTATTACTCGCATTGTCTAAAAGAAGAAGCTGAAGCACCGAGTTCAGCAACTTGCTGGATCTCAGCTAGTCAGTCAAGACATAGGTATTTAATCAAAGCCTTTCTGACTCCAGGGAGCGTGCTTTTTCTACCATATCATCTGCATCACTGTGTCATGAGCACAGTGACAGAAAGTTGACTGTGGCCTCTTGGAGAGGACATGGTGTGGTGAGAAAGGCAGTGGCTAAGGAATAGATTTAAGACGCGCTCAGGCACTGCCACATCCTTGGCACCATCATTATTAGTGGCTTTGGTTAGTTACACACATCTCTGTGAACTTAGCTGAAGTCCCTTTCTGCTTTATAATACTGTAATTTCCTCTTGTAACAAGTCGTCTTTGCCAATGGCAAAGTACAAGTTAGTGACCAGGTGAAAAACTCATTATCTATCCAGACATTTCCCAATATAGAATACAATAGGTAGAAAAGAAAACAAAGCAAGACCCTGTATCCAAAAATAGTTAACATTAATAGTAAGAAAACAATTTGATTAACACTTTGAAAGTGAGACATGATTATTCAATTAATGTTTTCTTTTTCAAAATAAGTGGCCTCAATGATCTTATCTATGAAATCTAATACCTGATTTAAAATATGATAAATATTTTCACTGAATGAATACACTTTGACTACAAAAGTCAGTAAATATTTTATTTTTTTATTTTCATAGATTTGAAAACTGGAATTTTCATTGTTATGCTGGGGGTAATTTTGAAACTTTGTTGAGGTCTGCAGTTGTATTTGTCTTCCTTCTTTTGGCTTTTGGACTCAGCTTTTATGTCCCCTTGAATTTTCAGGTAAGGCAATTGTATGAGTAGTTGATTTTGTCACTGTGAATAATGGAAATATATATTGATATGTAAATGTGAATAGTCTGGGAAATTCATAATTACACAACAGTATTTTAATACTTTAGTTTTTTTCATCTGCTGTCTTTCCAGTGATTTTAGAAAAATCATTTTCCTTTTTTGAACCCTACAAAAAATTAGGGTCTTGTTCAGTAAATTTTTTCCATTGTCAAAAGTTTAGGCCAGACATGGTGGCTCATGCCTGTCATCCCAGCTACTTGGGAGGCTAAGGCAGGAGAACCGTGTGAACCCAGGAGGCAGAAGTTACAGTGAGCTGAGATTGCACCATTGTACTCCATCCTGGACAGAAAGAGCAAAACTCATCGCAAAAAGAAAAAACAAATTATGTACAGTGTATAATAATTTATTCTTTATGCAAAAAAGATACTATTGATGACTTTGCCACTGTTTTTTAATATTTTATCACTGGATTTCAGTAACCATATACCTATGAATTTTAAAAAGTATTCTGAATATAATTTTTATCATTCTACTCTCCAGGAAACATTTTTTCATTGTGTATACTTTGCATTTTATTTGTACCTCGCTGTCTGTTTTCAGGGTGTCTTCAGCTCTCCATTGTTGTCTGTGTTTTTTTTTTTTTGTTGTTGTTGTTTTTTTTTGAGATGGATTTTCGCTCTTGTTACCCAGGCTGGAGTGCAATGGCGCGATCTCGGCTCACCGCAACCTCCGCCTCCTGGGTTCAGGCAATTCTCCTGCCTCACCCTCCTGAGTAGCTGGGATTACAGGCACGTGCCACCATGCCCAGCTAATTTTTTGTATTTTTTAGTAGAGACGGGGTTTCACCATGTTGACCAGGATGGTCTTGATCTCTTGACCTCCTGATCCATCCGCCTCGGCCTCCCAAAGTGCTGGGATTACAGGCTTGAGCCACCGTGCCCGGCTTGCTGTCTGTAATACAGACCATCAGTATGATAACAGGAGACATCCATTATCGACAGTCCTTTCTAAACCCATTTCTGAGGAATGAATGGACATATCCACTTCTGTCTTTTTTACTACTTACTAGTTTCACAATATTTGCCACAATTGTCCTCATGAATTTACTTGTAAGTAGTTTTTTCTTGTATTTTCTGTTTGTTGATCATTTGAAACATTTCATAATAATTATTTTTAACTTTAATGAAGAGGAAGATGAGGAAGGATCTACTACAAAATGTATTTATTGAACACTCATTTGGTGCCTGGGGAGCACCAGGCACATCAAGAGGCTCAGGGCGTGCAAAGATGCCTGCACTTGGCAAATACTGAGAATCTACTAAATGCCAGGAACTGTTACAAGTTCTGTGAAACACTGGGGAAGAAAGCAGACCAATATTCAATCCCAGTGTGATTACAAACTAGTCAGGAAGTTAGGTAATAAATAAATATGGAGCATAATGTCATGTGGATGATAAAAGCTATGAATAATTAAGAAGCAGGAAAAGGCAATAAAGATGAAGGTGTGTGATGCTTTGGAGTTGAAGAGGGGGTCAGAGGTTAGGCAGAGAGTTTTATGGAACATATTGTCTTTATGCTCAAATTTACCATTGACAAGAGATTCAAGTGGGGAAATCTCTCATGCAGAGGGCATCTGTGACATTCAGATGCCACCTTGAACCCAGTCAAAGCCTAGACACTATCAGCAGACATGAGAGTGCCCTTTCACGTGGAATTCTCTAGAGAATCTTCTCAACCCATGAGCATGTTAGCTGATGCAAGCAGAGGTGCGTCCACTGCAGGTCCATGGAGAGCCCTTACTGGCATTTTTGTGCCTGTTTTTCCTTTATACATTTATGCACATGCACATATTCCACACACTTTCCCTGAGTCCAACTATGTACCAGAGACTGTGCTAGGCAGTGTTTCTGGAAAAAACTATGCAGACTCGTAAGTTTTTTGATCCACTTATTTGATACAACTCCAGAGTTTTATTTTGGTGATCTAGAAAAACAAAGGATGGGACTAGGAATAATGGGGAATGACATAGAGCCCACATTCTTCTCTTATAACTGCTTATGTTTTGGGAGAAAATTGTCCAGAAGAGAATTGGGCTTAGCAGTAGTACAGGCTGGCCCCATGCTGAAGATCCACACATCCGGCACCCAGTGTGCATCTCTACCTGGATGTCCTGGAGGAAAATCAAAACCAGCAGAGCCAAGACTAGTGTTATTTTTCCTTCAGAACCTCCACGGCCTCTCAGTAGAATCTCCCAGCCATCTTACTCAGATCATTGGCAGATAGTCTCTATTTCACTCTCCCGCTTTTTTCCTCAGTTCTTTCAATAACTCTTTGGCTTCCACATCTGCTTCCAGTTGGCTTGGACTGTCACGGTTCCTCATCCAAATGGCTGCAGCAGCCTCAAGAGCATCTCTACCTTATCTCACCGCTTTGTCTATTTCTTCCTACAAATGGTCACCATAGTGATGCTCTGATAATGAAAAACTAAATGTATCAGTGGCTATTTTAAATGTTTTTCCATGCCTCTCAAAAGCTTTAATCCAGTCCAAACCCATCAGCATAGCAAGCCAAGGTCCCTGTGACCTGGATTTACCTATATCTTACCCAACTCCCCACCATTCCCTGGATTTACTGAGAAATATACATTCCCTGAGTGTACATTCCACACTTTCCTTCATGCTGCCTAGACTCTGTGTGGGCTCTTCCTTTTGCATGGAAAGCCTCCCACCATGCGTTAATGCTGTGCTTTCAACACTCAGCTCAAGTATCATTTCTTCAGGCCAGACTTCCTTCACCACCACCCCTCTCCAATTACCTTACTCTACTGGGTGGTCTTTCCTTGTGTTACCATAGTTTTGAGCATACAAACAGATAATAATAATGAAACCTACTTCCTAGATGACTGCAAAAATTAAATGAGCTAATACAATGCACTTAAAACAGTACTTGGCACATGATAAGCATTCTATAAATGTTAGTGACCATTAAAAGTTAATAATTGATCTCTTCTATGGCTTATAAGCTCAACTGTCTCCAGAGCCCAGTCAAGTATCTAAAATATGTGAAGCAGCAGGTATGAGATGGTTAGTTTGGGTTTTTTGTTTGTTTTGAGACAGGGTTTAAGTCTGTGACCCAGGCTTGAGTGCAGTGGAGTGATCATGGCTCACTGAAGCCTCCACCTCCCAGTCTCAGCTGATCTTCCCACCTCAGCCTACCTAGTAGCTGAGACTACAGGTGCTTACCACCATGCGCAGCTAATGTTTGTAGAGATAAGGCTTTGCCCTGCTGCCCAGGCTGGTCTGGAAGTCCTGGACTCAAGTGATCCTCCCAGTGCTGAGATCACAGATGTGAGCTTCTGCACATGGCAGAAATCAGAGATGTTTGGTTTTGCTGGAGGCTGCTGTCAATTGGTGAGAACACCTGACTGAAGGATTGCCAATGAAAAACCGAAAAATGATTCTCCTCAGTAAAACCTATTTCCTGGCTATATCCAGTTCTCAGTGCTACTTTGCAAGCCCTAGAATATACTCTCCCACTATTCATTCATTCCGTGACTGTTTTGTACACCTGTTATGTGCCTGCTCTATACAAAGCACCGGGCATACAGTGGTGACCTTGACAGAGCCATTTTCTCATGTAGTCCATTTTCTCATGTAGTTTACTGGACCTTAAGCTCCTCATGAGCAGTCACTGGCTTTTCCTTTGTGGTGCAGCATGTAAGATGCTGGCTCAGCAAAGTCAGAAACTTAGTACCTGAAAAATCAATGAATAAGTGAAATGAGCTCAATTTCATCAGATTGAGTAGAACTGAGATAACAGCTTCCCTTTACCTAATTCCATCTAGCCATAAATTTCTGGTTTCTCACCAGAGTCTCTCCCACCTCTATGGTATATCTTTTGCTTCTGAACATATGTAAGGTATAAAAAGGATCATTCTC